CTATAAAGGGCAATTAACCCTTTATTATTATTATTATTATTATTATTATTTAAAAAAAAAAGGGATCAAGTCCACAAAAAGGACCCATACAACAAAAGTAAAAAGGCCCATAAAAAAAATAAAAAATAAAAAAAAGGAGCCCCTGGACTATAAGGAGGTAATCACTTCCTAAAAAGATCAATATTTCTTCCAAAGCAAAGAAATAATTCCATCCACGACCTAAAGATTATCCAGATAAAAGTACCAATTGTTGTGACTCGCACAGTTAAGAAAATTCACTTGTGCAAGTCACGAGGGGCATTTTTTGGCACATAAATTTCAACTAAATTTATGACACGTATAGAGCCTATGATAGGAAGTTTGTAGGTAATCACTTCCTAAAAAGATCAATATTTCTTCCAAAGCAAAGAAATAATTCCATCCACGACCTAAAGATTATCCAGATAAAAGTACCAATTGTTGTGACTCGCACAGTTAAGAAAATTCACTTGTGCAAGTCACGAGGGGCATTTTTTGGTACATAAATTTCAACTAAATTTATGACACGTATAGAGCCTATGATAGGAAGGTTGTAGGTAATCACTTCCTAAAAAGATCAATATGATCCATTGAAGTGCATAAATAAAACGACGTATCTCACGACGTTATTCAAGATGCTCAAGTGACACGTGGAGCCTACGAAAGATGGCACCTATAGAGCCTACAACAAGGACACCACACAGGATGAAACCCTAAGGATCAATTCGATTAATCAGATGTATGATTCAAAATTCAAATGGCGCTATTATTCAATTTTAAATTCAAATTGAGGGTGAGGCATTCTTATCACTTGGATGGCCCTTTATAAATATGAGGACCATCACATAAGACCGAGGATTAGAAAATCAGAAGTGTGAATTTTAGAGAGAGAGAGAAAGAAATCAGGAGCTAAAGAAGTCGTTACAAGAAAGAAGAAAAGAAGCCTAGAGAACTCAAGAACCTACACTACAAACACAGAATGGCGATGAATAGGTAAAGGGTTCCAAACCTAAGAATTGTACTTTGTTTTCAAGGGTTCAAAATCTATAACAATTTCAATAAAGTATTTATTTGTCTTAAATTGTTTTCTGTTAGTTATTTAGTTCTTCATTAATCGGAGGTTTCATTTATATAAAATGTGTAATTAACGATCTGAAATACAGATTGGAAATAGGAACCTGATATTCAAATAATCAATACTGTTTAGTCCAAAAACTAAACAGTGAACATTTGTATCATAAAATTTTGAAATGTGTTGAAACATTTCATGTTTCAAAATTTGTGTCTATAGGCCTGTCCCTTTAATTTAATTTATTTTTTTGCAGGGGACACACGTGTCCAAATCTGAACACGCCATGGACACGGTGAGAAGAGTAAATGAAAGGGAAACGAGTACAAACCTGGTCGATGACGATCCAAAGCCCTTCAACCTCGACTTCGACGATTCGGAGCTCCATTCGACTTCGACGATCTAGAGCCCCCTTCGACTTTAACGAGCTCTCTCTCGCCTTTGCCTTCTCAAAGCTCTCTCTCTCTCGCCTTCTCTCTCCCTCGCGATCACGATCGAGATCGTCTTCCTCTCTCTTGCTTCTGATTGCGATCGTCTCCCTCTCTCTCGCTTCTGTCTTGCTTCTGTCTCCCACTCTCTCGGTTTTCTTCCGTCTTTGTCTTCTTGTCTTGATTCATATATAATATATATAACTATTATATAATAACTATTGAATATATAATATATATAACTAATAACTATTATTATTATATATTATATAACATAAATATACTTATAAGATAATGTATAATACATATTATAAGATAACATATACTTATACATATTAATAAACAAAAAAATAAATACATGTATGTAAAATAAAATAAAAAAAATTAATTGGGACAAATTATTTCACATGTATGTAAAATAAAATAAAAAAATTAATTATTTAAAAAATATAATAAATAAATAAAATAATTAATATGTATTAAAATAAAAATATTTATAAAAAAAATTAAAAAATTTGCCGTGTCCCCTGCCGTGTCCGTGTCTCCATTTTTTAGAAATTGCCGTGTCCCGTGTCCGTGTTCGTGTTCGTGTTCGTGCTTCATTGTGTGCAAGCAATGAACTCATCAATTCCTAAACCGTTGATGTTGTGATATCTTTTAATTTCTTAATTGCAGTGACAGCATTTTCATACATCTCATTCTTGGGCAAAACTATTAACTAATAAGAAATTTCTCAATGATCTTTTGACTAGAATTTTCTGCACTAGATGATTTCATTTGGTTAACAATTTTCGTAATTCTTGTAAAAAAATTTCATATCTTCTGATTCCTTCATTCATAGATTCTCCAGTTCTTTTCTCAGTGATTGAAGCAGTCACCTTGGTACCCCCTTCAAATTCTTTCTGTAAAATCTCCAAAGCTTCCTTCGCTTTGGTGGCATTTATGGTTATTGGAAAAATTGCATCTAATACTCTTTGTTGAATGTAGAGTAATTTTATTCTTGGAAAGATTGCTATTTTTCTTTAGTTAGGTAGTTCTCATGACTGCATGACCCTTTATGAGTGAGGGGAATCGAAGGCCAGGGAAAGTTTTTTGGCAACAGGGGATCGTTTCTCACCCTGATCTACCTACCCTATGTATTTGAGGGGGAGGCTGGAACTGAAAAAGACTTGATTTGCATTATCATGCGATTCTCATCCAACATCGTCTTTTGATTGTTTGAGATATGCTTCATTCTTGGCTTGATGTAGCCAACCTAAACAATATTTCATAAATTTTGAGACAAGAACAAAGTCTCTGAAAACACTTGGTGTCTAGTGCTTTGCTTTAGTCACCACAAACGAGATGATGTTATTTGGTGCATTTAACTAAAGAATTGGATACCATCATGATTTGGATAAGAATTTTGTCAGCCTTTAAGATTTTGTTATTGTACTCCCACTAGTAGTAAGAGTAAAAATGTCTTTGCTTTTGGAAAGATTATGAACTTTGTCCATCCATATATGAACCTGATTAAAAGTTACTTCTTCTCGGTCTTTGGTGAATTACTGGTGTTATGAAAGAAAAAGATCAAATCCTACTTCAAACTTGTGGATGCAATTGGCTTTGCTCCCCTCTTGGTGCCTGTGTTTCATGTTTTGTGTTGGTTTTTGCTTGTATTGTAACTTTAGACGATGTGGGGCAACTTTAAAAAAGAGATTGGGCATCTATGATGATTAGTACATATTGGGAGTTTCAACCAATTGGTCTGAATTATTTTAAGAATTTACGTGATGATCTCAAGAATGCGTGTTGGCTTGCTCAATCTGATCATCAACAGGGGTTAGTTTAGTTTAGTATAATGTTGTCATCATATCTATAAAATAATCAATTGTGAAAGGATATTGCTAAGTTCTTGTCCTTTTTATGTATAACTCTCTATCCATATAGCCAACTCACTGATTCAGTACACAGGTGATGGGCAAGGCTCACATCTTATGAGAGAGGACTGTTTGTATTCAACTGAAAAATAATGAATTTTGGATGGATACAATATATTTAAATTACAGCCACACCACAAAAAAGGCCGATATATTGAATTTTTGGTGATATTTATTCTCGTCCGATATGGCCAATAATTTCAATATAAAAGATGTTGCTTACATGACATTTTATGCTCAAAGCCATATGTTTATTAGTTTTGAAGAGTGGATTGCTAGAGATGATTTTATGTGCCAAAAATTTATTCTACATGATAATTTGAAAATAAACATATTCACTTCTTTCCCAAGCTTTTCATTTCAGTTATGAAAAAGTGGGGTTGTAAAATGAATCATGTTACTTGACCTCGACTGTTGTTTTAATACATTTTGAAGTTAATTATTTTTTCAAGCTTGCTTGAACTCAACTCATAAGTTTATACTTCATACTCACTAGAAATCAAACCAAACCAAACCAAGCCTTAAGTTCCATCAAATGGGGTCGGCTCACACTTACTAGAAATATATAAAAATAAATAAATAAATAAAGCTGCTTGAGTTCTGCTCTATTGAAACTTGTTTGAGATCAATTTGAAAGATAAATAAATTAAGCTTAGGCGCCTTTTGAAACTTACTGCCTTAGATGTAAGTACGTGTCAAAATTAGACAAAAGGGATTGTATGTATAGCCGATTGTCTTAATTTTTCTATCATTACAAAGTAGATCCTCCTCTCCTTCATGAATTCATGTGGAAGAGTAAACTTGTTACAAGTTTGTAGAATTTGTTCTATTTGATTGTGCTTTTTGCTTGTATTTTTTTATTCCCCAGAAAACACAGTGCAGGAATGATATCATACCCCGACATAGTTGGAAAATATTAGTTTGTGTTTACTACCTGGAGGTTGGGGAATTCTTTCTCCTCGTGGGATTCTTTGTTGCATTGAGTTGTTTATTTCTTCTTGTTAATGAGCTATTTTTTTGTGATTATTGTTGGATTGCTAGCCATGTATTGTTGAATTATAATTGTTTTGTGTACTTTTTTGTATATTCGATCATCAACAGGAACGATTTTATAATTCTTGCCAATCTTTCTGGCTAGCATCAATTATAGTCGAGTCTGGAATGATCCGTAATTGAATATTCTCACTTGGATAGTAATACTACTACCCACAAAGTTTTCTCACCTTCAAAATTATTCATGGTTTGGAAATGAGTTGATGCATCACCATACATGATGATGAAGATGCATTGTGATCTTCTATAAGCATGTTGCCATTGATCCTAACCAATAGCCTTTTGCGATGTGGGGTGACAACAGAAAAGAAAAGAAAAGAAAAAATATATTAGCTTCACTATTTCTTAACTTCACCAACATCCCTCTGTGCATTGTATGCTTCTCAGCAGTTTCTTTCAAGGTTTTAGGTCTCACATGAAAACAGTATGCGTCCTCACCTTGGGGTGGTGGCTTCTGTTTGATTCAGAGTTGACATTTAAGTACATAAATGAGGATGATGGTTATTATTGCAGTTATTGGCGTGATAATTTATAGTTTGAGCCATGGAGGTTGAAAAGCACTCTGACAATGGTCTCTCACTGTTAATGACACATTGATGATGATGATTAGGGCTGTTTGAACTCAGAAGTACTTCACAAAAGAGACCATCTGTGCCAACTTCGAACTGTATTTTTTCTCTTTCACACTTTTTTTTTTTTTTTGTTTTGGTTTGGGATTTCTGTTACTTATCAAAATTGATTGTGTTTGATATCATGTGCCGAATTGATTTTTATTCGATAGCTGATGTTCAAACAAACCTTGTGGAATGAAAGCTCCCTTGTTAGACAGATGAAGGTATCACATACACAAGCTAGCACATGTTATAATCTACGACCAACAACCTTCAAGATGATTTGGGATACCTAGTGGGATCTTTGGTTCCAGAGAGGCCCAAGTTTGTTTTTTTTTTGTTGTTTTGACACAATGTGTTATGCAATAATTTTTCATGTAAAATGTTTTAGGTAGATATCTAATCTAATATATAATGTTCCTAAAAGCTTTTGCAATAAAATGTTCACTTTTAGGGACGAAAATATGTCTTTGATAAAACGGTAGTATTTGTTAATAAAGCATGCACAAAGAGGCAAATATTGGTGCTTTGTTTTGCATAGTTTAGTGGTACGACAAAATTTGTAGTTTAGTAAATTAAAAAAAGAAGAAGAAAGATCTAGCAAATTTCACTTTTCATCGTAGGACTTTGTAACAATTGAATCCTAATATTTTATTGCGGTTCTCTTGTCATTTCTATTTAAATTTTGAACAGAAAGTGTTCACGTACGGATGATGTGAGCATATTTAAGGGGTACTAGAAAAAAAATTATTAAGTGAGTGATTAAAGTAAATTTGAATAGATCTAGGTTGTAGTCGAAGTGGTCATGAATAGAATAGGGTACTTAGGTATTATGGTGAGATTTCAAATTTGAGTATATGAAAAGACATTAACTTGTGTTGTAATTTAATTACTAATATAAATTTGAATGAGAAGCGTATTTGCTCATTCTAATTTTGAACGAGGGACGGGAGGATTGTATTGAATTATGGAATGGTCTGATGAGTCAATTGTTGCAGTTAAAAGGTGATGGTTCAATGGATTGATCCGATGACTCAATTGTTGCATTTAAAAGGTGATGGTTCAAAGATAGGTAAGAGTGAAATATTGAGCTTAAAAAGTGCAATTTGTCTTAAAACAAAAAGAAAATAAAAGAGTATAAAGCACAAATATGATGATGACTATTTGACTTTTTAGTATTTTGAGTTTTCGGTAGCATGTTGAAGATTATAATGGTTAAATTTGTGACATCAAAAGTTGATATGTAATATGTCATTGTTTGTACCCAAAACGGCACGGTTAATGGGAGGCCGCCGTGTAGCATTACTTTCCAGCATAGAGGGAAGCCATAAAGCCCAAGTTGCTGTGCAAGGTTATGTATGTAACAATTATAAAATAAATTTGAATAAGATGAAGATAACTCACCTATGTGATCCTACAAAGGGAGGAGTTAGATATAGGATGGTAATGTTTTCCTGCCCCGCTCTCGTTGCACCTTACACCGGTCTTTTGCTCCCCCTATATCATTCTATCCCTCCCCACCCCAATTTTATGTATTAAATATATTTATATATATAATTAATTTTTTTAATATAATAAGATTAAATCATTAAAATATTACACTTAACATTCATTTTTATTTATTTATTTATTATTTTATTAAATCATTATCCATAATATATTATATTATTTTTAATTTTTATTAATTTTCTTAATTTTAAAATAGGATTTAGGGTCCAGCAACTTTACATTTTCTTTATCTCAAACAAATATTTTCTGTAACTTATCTTCCGTAGCTTTGTTCCAAATAACTTCTTATTTTTATTTTTATTTTTTTATCATCAAAGGTAATGTTTATTTGTTTTTTTTAAGTTTTATCATTTTTTATTCCAGCTGTATGAGGACAGTCTAGCACTCTAACATGTAGGAAATAGATAAGTTTTCATTTGGTTTAAAAAGTTAAATTGGAACATTTTGCTCTCATTCACATACAAAAACTATCTTCATTCTTTAATTGTCGATTTTTTTTTCCCATCAATAATGATATCATTGTAAATTAAATTAAAAGAAACATTTTAAGAGTTTTGTAACATTTGTTTTGGGATTTTTTTTAGGATCCTTGTATTAAGATTTTATAGCATAAAAGACATTAAATATTTTCATTATGTCTAAAGTTTCTCAATATCGATTCAGAGAAATTTTGATCTTAGAGAATTTTTCTGGACTTTTCAAAGAATTTCTCTAAGTTCAAACCAAAGAAAATTGAAATTTCTGTAAGTTCAAACCAAAAGAAAATTGAATGTAGCATTTGGTAGAGTTTTTTAAATATGATTTCAGAATATGAGCTATATTTTGAGTTTGTGAGTTTTGAAATTATGATTTGAGTGCGGAGAATATGTTTGGTGAATGAGTTTTCAAAAGTGTTTTGGATTGAATAGGAAATTTTTGATGTGACATATGATATTTGATACAAAAATTTACAACTCATAACCAAACACATAACTCAAAATTTTATTTAAAACTCATAAAAAAAATTTAAAAATTTTGAATTTTTTATTTATTTAAAATATAAAAAATAACAGGTGTCAATTGTAAAAAAATAAAAATAAAAAAATAAATAAAAAATTGCACTGTATCAGTCAATCGGCCAGACATTCGGGAGGACGACCGGTTAGCCCAAATTTTCTCGGCTTCGACTGAGTTTTCAAAAGTAGATGTGAAATTAATTTTTGAAAACGGTAACCAAAAATCACGCGCAAATTAAGAGGTAGAAATACATTTTGAAAACTCTTCCAAACAGAGTAAATTTCTCTAGTTTTGTTCACAGAGAATTGAAATTTCTCTAGCTCTGTTCACAGAGAATTTCTATGGTTTTGTTCACAAATTTCTCTGTGTTTGTTCACAATTTTAAACCAGAGAAAATTATTTTAACCAAATCAAAGAAATTTTAGCACAATGATTTTAAATCAGAGAAATTGTTTTAACCAACCTAGAGAAAATTTGATTCATAAAATTTTTCTGGGTTCAAACCAGAAAATTTTTCTACCATCCCAATCACGATATGCAATACATAAATTGGTGATCACAGCCAAAGAAAATTCATACTGTCAGAAAAAATTAAAATTTTTCTGAATTCAAACTAGAGAAAATAAAAATTTCTCTGGATTTGTTCATAGAAAATTGAAATTTTTTTGGCATTGTTCACATACATACGATAATTATTGAATTCTTAATCAATTTCGAATTTTTTTTTACTTGCCAGATCCAGAGCTAGGCAAGACTCCATATTCATTCGTATCAAATGAATGAGGGTTGAAGACAATCAAACAACATTAAAAGTTTAAATTAAACAACAGTATCCACATTGTAATCAAACTATATTATCCCTAGAACATAATTATAAAAACAAAAATTTAAAACACTAAAAACATAATAGAACCATAATTTAGAGAATAAAAAAAAAGACAAAATGGTTGAATCAAGGCTATTGCTGAGCAGCCACAAACCCAGCATCAACAAGCACTTTCTCTCTCTTAGCCAATTCATCCTCATCAGCCATCAACCATCATCTTCGGCAGCATCTTAAACCCAACTTTAGGCTTCCAACCCAGAACCTTCTTGGCCTTGCTCGCATCGCCCTTCAAATTATCAACCTCAGTGGCCCGAAAATACCTCTTATCAATCACAACGTGGTCTCTCCAATTCAACCCAACAGACCCAAATGCCACTTCCAAAAACTCCTAAACAGTATGCGACTCCTCTATGGCCACCACATAATTATCTGGCTTCTCCTATTGAAGCATCATTCACACCACCTTCACATAATCTCCAGCAAAACCCCAATCCCTCGAAGCTAAGAAATTCCCCAAAAACAGCTTACTCTGAAGCCCGATCTTGATTCTCCCCACATCCCTTGTGATCTTCCTTGTCACAAAATTCTCTCCCATTCTGGGCAATTCATGGTTGAACAAAATCCCATTACAAGCAAAGATCCCATAGGCTTCACGGTAATTCACAGTGTACCAATGAGCAGTGTATCAATGATCCAGAGAATTTCTTTGTGTAACGTGATTTACTTTATGGCAAGATCGTATAATAAGGAAGACAAAGGCTCATTATCTGTGTAGGGAGAGACAGTGAGAGAGAGAGAGAGAATGGGGAGAGACAGAGAGAGAGAATGAGAAAATAGGTATTAGGTGGGTAAGATATATAGGGGGTGAGTAAGGTCCTTATACATCATAAAATTATAAAATAATATTATAAACCTCTCTTATTATTAAAGGTGGGAAAGCACGTTAGACTAATTTTTTATTTTGTTTTTTCCTAATTTTTAATTTGAACAATGTTATCCTTGTCAAAGTTTTTTTCTTGATATTTAAACCTATTTTGAGAAGTTGAAAAAAAAAAATTAATTTTTTTAAAAAATATATTAAAAAATTAAAAAGATAATATTATTTAAATAAACTAATAAATCAATCAATTAATTTTTCTCATAATTGTCAAAATAGACAGGATTTTGGGTGGCTGTTGTGCCCCTTGCACAGTAGCCACTGCTATGCAGTCAAATGGGTTCATTTCAGGACCCATTTGGATTATCCGAATCATTCACATTTTAAAGTATATAAAGTAAAACGTACCTATAAAAAATAAAGTTAATCGAATATCGTTAATCCTTTTATCCACTTACATTTGTGTATACAAAAATAAATGATAATAGTGATTTAAATTATTAAAATTAATATAAATGTGAATGGATGAAAGAGTTAACGATATCCGATTAATTTAATTTTTTTTGAATATATTTTATTCAATATATTTTAAAATATGAATAATTTAAATTATTAAAATAAAATCTTAATAAATCTTAAAATAAGCTCATTTAACTAACAGCATAGCAGTGGCTGCTGTAGCAGCCCCCAAATTGAAACAGACGTTAGAGCCTACGGTGTACCTAAAAATGCGCCAAATAAAAATGCGCACGCAATAGAGGTGACATGCGAACACGTTACATTTATGTGAGCCAGAAAAATAAATAAATAGAAGTAAGAAAAAGGAAAAAGGAAAAAGAGAAAACGAGGAGAGCCAAACCTGTTTGAAGAACGATAAGCATGAGTATGAGTTTTCTCGCACTATCTTCAACCGGCGGTCACCGCGGCGTGGTGTCGTTTTCTCCGTACGCAGGTGCAATTACAATTCCAAGGCCGAACAAACGAAGATTGGCACCGCCGCCGCGAGCAGCGGTTGTGGAGGCGACACCCTCCCAATCTCAATCCCAATCCCAATCCCAATCCCAATCCCAATCAGTGCCTGCAATTAGCGGCAATAATGCCGTGTCAGTCTCCTCCTCCTCCTCCTCCTCCTACCGCTATGTTCTTTCTTCCAGGGACCGAACGGACGATATGCAAGCCGAGGCTAGAGCCATGGCCCGTGCCGCCAATGCTTCGGTCTACAGCCCCGAACTTCTTTCCAACAACTACGGCTCTCGTCCCATCAAGGTATAATCATCATATTCATTATTCAGCACAACAACAGCCGATTGATTATTATGCTTTTTTTTTAAAAAAAAATAAAAAAATCTCCGGCTTTATATTTTATATGTTTGTAGGTAGTGCGGAGGACTCTGGAAATATTTATTGGCCTGGGTTCATTTGCGTTCAAGCTATGGATGGACCAGTTGAATGGCCAGCTCGATCAATATCAGTACAGAAGATTGCGGGCCGTTCAGCTGAGGAAGATTTTCACTAGATTGGGGCCTACTTTTGTCAAAATTGGGCAGGGCTTGTCCACTCGACCTGATCTCTGTCCACCCGAGTATCTCGAGGAGCTCTCTGAACTCCAGGTAGGTAGGTATGTATGCATGTATGTATGTATGTATGTATGTATGTATGTATGTGTGCCCCTTTCTACTTTCTACCTTTGTAGTCAGTCAAGCTCAAGCTCAAGCCAGCTAACCACCCTCCCCATTCTAGCCGATTCTAATTCAGAAACTAAGATGAATTGACAACTATGAATACAGACAGACCAAGGAATGCCCTAATTTTCCCTAATTCTAAGCCCCTTTTTTTGACCTTTGGAGATTTTGTCCCATCAATGGGGTTCTTCATCAGCGATCTGGTTTCTCTTTGACTCAGTCTAGTGGCTCTCCCAGCCGTATGCCTCATCATTCCCTCTTTTCCATTGGCATCCTAATGCTCAAAAGTAGGGCCTAGGAACCTAGTTGAAGCTGGTGCATTGCTCATGGTGGGTTGTGTTGGGGAATTTTCAAAATGGGTTTCAAAATTTAAGTGTAGTTTTTGGGTGTTTTCAAAATTTTCTTTGTTTTTCTTTGGAAAGTTTGAAATAAGCTTGGGAACTTTGTTCCACATTGGAAAGAGAGCAAAATATGGAGTACTTAATAAAGTGCTACATGGAATATTCTTTTGAATATAGTATTGTGGGATGGATGCTAGTGTGCATGTACTCACACCGCAAGAATGGTGCTTTGCACCATCCGTGCACGCACGAACGCACGCACACGGGGCGTGGGCTGTATGGCATTTGATAGCACACTTTGCACACGTTGCATGGGCGCAAGGCGCCATGAGGGCACTTTCCTATTTGCATCAAACAGGTTGGAGCGATGACGTGGATCCAACGTGGCATAGGTGACGTGGAATACAATCAGCTCCATGTGGCAGTGATGCAGTGTCTGTTGGCGATGAGTCAACCAACCGATCGAACGGTTGTGTGTTCGATCTGTAGTGGTTTGATCATAACTGTTGATTAGAGATGCGTGCAATCGAATGGATGAGATGACACCCGATCGTGATTAGGTATGATCAGTCAAGGCATCTATTTGGTGTGAGAATGATCTGCACTATAGATTGTCGATCCAACGATTAGATCTGATTGGATGCGATCAAGGGACATGACCATTCGATCAGATGCATCAAGGCCTATACATAGGCTGCGAAATTAGCCATTTCAATCATCCAAAATTTAGAAAGCATTCTTGCAATTCTTTCTCTCTCTCTCTCTCCCTCTTGATTTAGAGTTTTCGATCAAAATTTTTTTAAGCAAGCTTATGCTTTTCTTACTGGTAATCAAATTCTGCAGACTTGATTGTCAGTGTCTTGGTTTTCTTGATTATATCAAGAGTATTCTAATCTGTTGTCGTCAGTGCAGACGCCGGTAGACTTGATCTTTAGATCAAGCTTCATCGTATTCTTGAGGCAAATTTGCTGTAACCCCTTGCACACCTTTTGGTGGGTGCAAATATTGTCTTTAGGAAAACAATTAAGTAATGTGACTTGAAGCACCAAATTTCTGTTCTACATAGACAAGATCATCGCCAAGTTTTAAAGACCAGAAGACCACCAACTGAAGAATTCAAGATGAATTGTTCTAACAATCTAAAGACAGTATTTAGATATGGCGATGTCTATTCATAAAAAATGACTCAAGATTTCATGAAGCTTGACTGATTTGATGGCGGAAATTTCCGATGCTGGCAAAAAAAGATGCACTTTTTGCTCACCACTCTCAAAGTGGTCTATGTGCTGACTAACCTCTATCCGGTGGAACAAGAAGACGAGACTATGGAGCAAACCCGTACCAGAACCAAATGGAAGAATGACGACTACATCTGCCAAGGACACATTCTAAATACGCTGTCAGACTCTCTGTTCGATGTGTATCAACATCTGGAAACGGCAAAGCAACTCTGAGACATATTACAATCAAAGTACCTCACTGAGGATGCCACTAGTAAGAAATTTCTTATTAGTAATTTTATGCGTTTTACTATGATTGATACAAAGCCTATTATGGAACAATTTCGTGAGATCCAACATATTCTGAGTTAGTTTTGACAGAAGAATATGAACGTGGATGAATCTATTGTAGTTTCGTTTATAATAGAGAAACTTCCATCTTCTTGGAAGGATTTTAAGAAAAACTCTGAAACACAAAAAAGAATATCTAACTTTAGAGGAATTGGCTCAACACCTCCAAGTTGAGGAAGAGTCAAGACTCCTTGAAAGTAAAGAAAACTAATTGGCTCAGACTTCCAAGATTCACACGGTGGATGATGGCAAGAGGTTCAACAAAAAGAAGCGTAAGCGCAACCCCCAACTTGAGAAAGATGCTAAGAAGTTGATAGGCGCTTGCTGGCACTGTGGCAAGGTAGGGCACTTCAGAAATGAATGCCAGTCATACAAAAAGAAGCCAGAAGCATCAAATGCCAAGAACAAGTTTGTGGCTGTTGTATCCGAGGTGAACATGCTCGAAGATGCTGGTGACTGGTGGGTTGACTTATGAGCAACCAGGCACGTCTGCAACGACAAGAGCCGTTTCACTACTTATGAACAAGTGAGTGATGGAATAGTTCTCTACACGGGCAACTCTTCAACTGCTGCTATCAAAGGCAAATGGATGATGGATCTAGAGTTCACATATGGAAAATTCTGAAGTCTTAATGAAGTTTATCATGTAACTGATGTAAGGAAAAATCTTGTATCTAGAAGCTTGCTTAATAAGCATGGTTTCAAGTTAGTATTTGAGTCGGACAAATTTGTCCTGTCTAAGGGTGAGATTTTTGTTGAGAAGGGCTACATATATCAAGGAATATTCAAACTTAATGTTATCAATAATACATATGTTTCTGCTTATATTGTTGATTCTTTTTCTTTATGGCATGTTCGTTTAGGTCATGTTAATACTAGGAAAATGAATGATATGATTAATTTAGAACATTCTAAATACGCTGTCAGACTCTCTGTTCGATACAAAGCCTATTATGGAACAAAGAATATTCAAAAGGGCTACATATATCAAGGAATATTCAAACTTAATGTTATCAATAATACATATGTTTCTGCTTATATTGTTGATTCTTTTTCTTTATGGCATGTTCGTTTAGGTCATGTTAATACTAGGAAAATGAATGATATGATTAATTTAGATTTAATTCCTAAGTATGATATTGATATGTTTGAAAAATGCAAATTTTGTGTGCAATCTAAAATTACTCGCATTCCATTTCCTGAAGTAGATAAATCCACATCTCTACTTGAACTTGTGCATAGTGATGTATGTGACATGCATAGTGCCCCCACTAGAGGTGGTAAGAAATATTTTGTAACATTCATTGATGATTTTTATAAGTACTGTCATATCTATCTTTTGCATTCAAAAGATGAGGTGCGTGATAAATTCAAGATTTTTAAGACAGAAGTAGAAAATCAGTGTAATGTCAAAATAAAGGGACTTAGGTCTGATAGAGGCGGTGAATACCATTTTCAGAATATTATGAAAATATTGGTATTATTCATGAGAAGTCTGCACCCTATACATCACAACAAAATGGAGTAGTTGAAAGAAAGAATAGGACATTAACAAAAATGATTAATGCTATGCTTTCTTACTCCAGTTTAAGTTTTGATTTTTGGGGTGAAGCCTTGTTCACTGCCAGTCACATAGTCAATAGAATTCCTCTCAAGGGAAGAAATGTTACTCCTTATGAACTTTGGAAAAACAAGAAACCTAATCTAGGTTACTTGAAAACGTGGGGTTGTAGAGCAATAGTCAGATTGCCTAAACCTAAAAGGAAGAAATTAGGTGAAAAATGAATTGAATGCATATTCCTTGGCTATGCTATACATAGCAAAGCATATAGGTTTCTGGTAGTAGAGCCAAATGTTTCAGTGGAAACAAATATCATCATTGAATCACATAATGCGGTATTTTATGAGAATTGTTTCACAACCATTCCAAGGTTGGATTCTAATCAAGGAAATGATCAACTTCTTTGATGTCTACAGAGGAAAGTGAACGACATGAACCCATTGAGCCTAATGAGCCTAATGAGCTAAGGAGGGGTAAGAGGGCTAGGACTGAGAAGTCATTTGGCCCTAATTTCATTGATTACCTTGTAGAAGGAACTAGGAAAGCTTATTGTAAGCAAACAATGATTTCTTTGAATATAGACTGTTAAAACCTATCACCTACTTCACCCACTTAAACCTACTCCACTAAACCTAACCCACTACACCACTACCACCTCACCTACTCCACTAAACCTAAATCCACCTACTCTCCACCTACTTCACCCACTTAAACCTACTCCACTAAACCTAACCCACTAAATCCACATACTCTCCACCTACTTCACCCACTTAAACCTACTCCACTAAACCTAACCCACTAAATCCACATACTCTCCACCTACTTCACCCACTTAAACCTACTCCACTAAACCTAACCCACTAAATCCACATACTCTCCACCTACTTCACCCACTTAAACCTACTCCACTAAACCTAACCCACTACACCACTACCGCCTCCACTTCACCTACTCCTTACCTATTACACACTCACCCTGTGGGTAGAGCTCCAGTAGTTCTACTCCGTCACTTGTGGAGTGAAGAAGAAGATTCTAAGAGTTCACAATTCATCAATCAATCCAAATTTGTCGTGTGATTAGTTTACCTAAAAGGTATGCCCGAATCCATATTCTTCTGCTGCGTATATGTATATATTTATTCCTACATCACCAATCAAGTCAAAGGTATCTAAGATATTCATACCTAATAATTTTCCACAAAGTGATGATGACACGAGCTAAAGCATCTGCACAACTAGGACATGAAGTTCATCATTTTATAGTTTGACAAATTAAAATTAAAATGACTTAAACTGGATAAAGTATGTTTACTGCATCTTAACCATTTCTGCCAATACCAATAAACTAAGGGACTAACCTATAAAGCCCTCCTTCACCTATTACACAAACATAAGGTGTTAAAATCCACCTACTCTCCACCTACTTCACCCACTTAAACCTACTCCACTAAACCTA